CCCCAAAACCCCAAAACCCCCGCCATTCAAAATTTTGTAATGAATAGTTATTAAATCAAGAATTATAAATTTATAATGAGCTCAATCATTTTTTTCATGCTAGTCAGAATTTGATTGAATTTAGGATACAGCTGCTGTACGTCCGAAAGTGAAATAACCACCAAGACTTACAACAGAAACTACTCCAGCTAGAATAGGACCAATATATGGATTGTCATTTATACTAGGCTTTACACATTTATCATTTAACAAGACAAATCCTTCGCTGCAAGTCTTGCAAATATTTTCATTCAAGCAACTGACGCAATTTACAGAGCAATGATCGAAAACTAATGGTTGAACATGCAATTTAGCCTGAGACTTCATTTCTTTAGTCTATTTTACTGCAAAGAAGGCTAGAAACAAAAGTTAAATTCATAGAAATATGCTTACTTTTATTAGTTGCATTATTTACTATTACAGCTTCAACACTATCCCCAACTCTTTTACCTTTTCCATCATTAACAAATTAGTTAGGAAGTTCCTCAGTAAATGAGTAATAAAGTTCTACTTCATTCTCATTGTTTTGAAGTTAGCTTTAAGCATTTTGATTTGAGCTATCACCACTAGTATTACTCTGCACAATATATTTACTAAGATCAATTCTAAGGTAAACATACTTTTATAGCAGGACAAAATATTAGGCTCCTGTATCATCCAGGACAATATTAGTAAGATTATTAATTTAAAAGTCTATTTCTGTTGGAGTTGAACAGGCTAATTAATTGATTGAATTTAGCAGTTGCTTTAGTTTATCAAACTAGGAAACTTGATACACTCTTGAATAATCTGTTGCGTTATCGCCTGAAAGATATGCAAGGGTCTCATTTTTAATATCAGGACCTATTCCAATAGCAAATGTTTTTATATTAAGCTCCTTTAGATTATCAATACTTTATTAATTAATAGGAACTGATGGCTATCCATCTGTCAGGATAAATAATAAGTTTATAACGTTTGGCCGTTTTTATATCTGCCCTTTAAATATCTTAGCTGACTCAACTAGTGCTAGATCAGTCTGAGTATCACTATTTGGATAATGCATTAATCTTACTGTATTTATCAAACTAACTTTGTCTCCTGAGAAATCAGACTTCAACTCAACCTGATTAGAAAAAAGGACAAGAGCTGCCTCTTATTGATCTTTTTCTATCTTCATCGATTCGAGGAGGTTCACCATAAATTACTTTTGAGTATTATAATTTTCTATCTTAATACTCCAAGATCCATCAATCACAAACATGATATTTGCAGCATTAGATTCACTGCATTTTTCCAAGCAATACTTTAGTATTTAAGCCTCAATATGCTTCCTATTAGAATGCTCTGCTTCTCTTTCAAGTTCTTTCATTATCTGAGAATAATTAGCTCTCAAAGCGTAATTCCAAAGTCTTTGATAGTTGCTAGGACTGCCATATTATCTTTGGAAGGAGTAGAATAATGTGCGAATACCTCGAGTAAGCTCCTCAAAATTAGGCTTTTATGGGTTAAGTTTACCGTATATTGATGGAGCATTAAAATAGTTGCTATTGTAGTATTTGCCCATATTCAATACCTCAGATCCCATTAACACAAGATCAAATGTCTATACTTCATTTAATGTCAGCTCCAAAGATTTTGATTCTTGGATAAATTTAATAGGGTTTTCTTTAATCCCTTAAAATGGTTTTAACTTATCCAAGATATCTGTATCCATTTTAAGAGTAATAAAATCATCTGTAAACATATAAAGATTTAAGTTTACCTGAAGAGCTCATTGTTAAGTCAAAACCTGATCCTATCATTATTCTTTTATCTCCAATAGGTTTGCAGTTCTTATCGACGTTAACATAAGGACAGAGGCATGTGCCCTGGAGTTTTTAAATGATTACTGCATTAACAAAAGGTTAACTTAAAGCTTAGCAACCAGTAAATCCTCTTGATAGATCTTCTACTCCCTCTGGATAGATTGGCCCCTAAGAGCATTTGAATAGTTTGCAACCACAGGGCTGAATAGAGCACTAATAGCAATCTTATGAGTCATACTCTTGTAAACTGACTAGTTAAAGTAGGCTAAATCCTATGATCAGATTTCTTATTAGCATTAAATTAATAATTAATTGTTAATCTAGTGTTAGTCTCAGAAGTTTAATTAGGGCTTAAATTTTTTGATCAATTATAAATTTTAGATTCAGATATTATGGGGTCTAAACCTGAAGGTCTTTATATAGCATAGATAGTAATTGCTCTTCTTATTTCTATCACGATAGACATTTTCAGTATTGAATTGCTTGCTGGGAACTATCCATTGAAAATTTTAGGAAGTACAATATTTGCTGCTGGTATCGCTGCATCAGTATCAGTGCTTCAATAAATATTCTCTTGGAATCTTTATTTTTCCCTCTCTTCCTGGATGTTTTCTGGGTTGATTGGAGCAATCATTGGACTAATTGCTTCATCTGCATCGGTGGCAGGTTTGATAATCTCAGATGGAAAAGAAGACTGGGAAATTATTTTAATTATTGTAGGATTTGAAGCACTTGGAGGTGGTTTATCTTTCCTGATATCTAGACTTATATCTAATTGTTTAAGGAAAAAATAGAATTATCCTTCTCAAATCTTTACTCAAGTAGTCATTGGTGCTATGGCAGCTTCTATTGGTGCTCTTTACAGTATAATCTACAAAATTTACCTTTCCCAAGGATCTAAAGATAATGAAGACCAAAGCGTTTCTGCAATTTTGTTGTCTGGTCTTTACGGAGCTTGCTCTGCAGCAGCTATATCTGCTTTAATAACTATTGGAAATAACTGGTTTTTCAGAAATAAGATTTCTGAGATTGAATTTATTTACTACATTGGTAACCATGATGATGGAAAGAAAATATGGGACTTCTTAATTCAAACAGAGCAAGTAAAAAAAGGGAAAATAGTATCAAAGTAAGTGAATCTTGAAAAGATAAGGCTTGAAATTTACAATGAAGATGTAGAAAGCTACTTTGGACAAAAAGATAATATTCTTCATAATATTAGGCTAAATATGCTCATTTCCTTTTTAGTTGCATTTGTGACTGGTTGTGCGCTTTCTCACTTTGATTAGAGATAAAAACAGGCTTAGATCGAGGAATCTAAAGATTTATAAGAATCCGTTGATTAATTTGAGAATATTGATCCTAAGTTAAAACAAGAAACCCCTAAATCTTCTCAAGAGAAGCAATATTAGGAGTTTAGAAAATAAGCATTAGAAAAAGCTGCTGAGGCCACTGAAACAGGCAATTAAATCTAGGAACTTGCAAACGAATAGACTACTTAGTTGGAAAAAGACTCTTTGATGGTTGATGCTAACAAAAGCTTTAGAGAAGCTGAAGCTTACAGAAATCTAGCAAACAAATCAGAGGACACCCAGAGCAATATCAATGGCATGCAAAAGGGACAAGAGTTAGCTGCAGTTAGACAAGCTCAAGTTCTTATGGCAGTGGTGCAAAATACTGGTGTCCCTATCTAAGCATAGAAATCTTCAAGCCAAACAAAAGATAAAGTGAATGATGGAGAATAGAAGGATCAAAATGAAGATAAGTAGAATCATTAAGCAGAGAAGATTCTAGAGGGAGCTATTAACAAGACTCAAAGTAATATTTAGAAAAACGAAATCTCTCGTGGATAGCAAGTAAGAGAGCCTTTGCTAAAAGATGACTGAAAAATTTCAAGATATTTTGTCAGGCTTTTGATTTAAGAAGTTAATACTAGTTTCTTTCTCAAACTTATTAATCATAGATTATTTGTTATATTTTTTACACCTGAATAGTATTATTTTGATAATTAATGAGAAAAAAAGATTCAAGCAATGTGTAATTATAAAGTTTTATGGGGTTTTGGGGTTTTGGGGTTTTGGGG